TTAGGCGTGCACAAGCAGCTGGATACGAAAAGGGTGAATTTATGCAGCTCATTTACGCACTTTTCCTGAAGATAGAAGAGTTTGTTGAATCTGACGTGACATGTTCGTACGAACCCTTTGTACGAACAAAAGTAAGAGAAATTTAGGAGAAGAATACGAACATGTTCTTGCATGAGGCCCAATGATCCAAAACACACCAGCAAGTCCACCTCTGAATGGCTGAAGAAAAACTAATTTAAGACTTTGGAGCGACCTAGTCAAAGTCCTGACCTGAGTCCTAYTGAAATGCTGTGGCATGACTTTAAAAGGTGGTTTAAGCTCAGAAACCCTCCAATGTGGCTGAATTACAACAATTCTGCAAAGATGAGTCGACCAAAATCCCTCCACAGCTGTGAAAGACTCGTTGCAAGTTATTGCAAACGCTAGTTGTTGCTGCTGAGGGTGGTCCGACCAGCTGTTAGGTTTAGGGGGTAATCACTTTTTCACACAGGGCCATGTGTGTTTGGATGTCTTTTATTTATTTATTTATTTATTTATTTATTTATTTATTTATTTATTTATTTATTTATTTTAAAAAACAAAGCAAATTTTATATACAATAAAAATACAAATGACTAATAAAGTAAAATGAAAGGCAGCAGAAAGAAGAAAACAAATTATATAATAACTGAGCCTTTTCTCCATCAAATAAATTCAAATAATAATAATCTTTGCGTGACAAAACAAAAAATAAGAAAAGTGAACATCAAATTTTTCTAAAACTGTTGTTATGGATACACATTATACTATTTTATTTTTCTTCAACAAACCAAATTTTACCATTCTCCTAAACCTATATATTGATTCTGAACTTTTGACATCACTCTCCAGATTGTTCCACAAACCTATTCTCCGTATCAAAGTACATCGTTTCTTTAAACTGGTTTTACAAATGTTCCATTCCTTTTTGAAATTATAATAATAATGAAGACTTTCATTTATAAACTGCATTTTGTGTTTACTTGTGTTATCTTTGTCTGATATTGAAATTTGTTTGGTGATCTGAAACATTTATGTGTGACAAACGTGAAAGAAAAAGAAATCAGAATGGGGGCAAACACTTTTCCACATCCCTATAATTATGTTTTACAATTGAAGAATTGTTTTATTGTTACAGTTTTCCTCAGTTGCTTTGGTACATTTCTCGAATTATCCTCAACATTTGCAAAACAGTAACAGCGAAACAAGTTGTTCGAATAGTAAAAAAATAAGGATTACCTTTAAGACAGTGTCTTGCTCAAAATTCTTAGTAATCCAAAAGTAAATGTCTGTTTGAACCCCTCAGCGTGGCCCCTCCTGTAGGCCTCACATGGGTCAGGTTTTTTTCTGTCCTGCTGCCACTGTACCAGGCTCAGCTTCATGTACCATTAGTGTTTTCATTGCTTAGAAAACAGTTTTATAAAATCAAGGTGAAAATAATTTTACATGTATAACTTCACCATTTTATACACATCGAAGTAAAACCTAATGGATATTTACTGAAATGTTACTTGTGTAGAGATTTTAAAATAAGTAAGTCGAAAGAATGACTTTGTTGGAATTTTTTATTTTTAGTTATAAAAAGCTAGGTGGGACGGTGGCTCAGTGGGCCAAGGACCATTGGACATGTGCCTCTCAGCAAAAAGGCTGTCGGTTCAAATCCCAGCCCAGGGACCTTTATGGGTATAGTTTGCATGTTCTCTCCGTGCATTTGTGGGTTCTCTCTGGGTACTCCAGCTTCCTCCAACAGACCAAAAACATGATTGTCAGGTTAATTAATAACTCTATAATTAGGTGTGAGTGAGAGAGTGAATGGTTGTTTGTCTCGTTTGTGTCCCTGTGATGGACTTGTCCAGGGTGTGGTGCCCCTGTGACCACGAAGCAGGCATAGATGATGGATATTAACTATTTTAGTAACTCATTCATTGATTACTGTTTTATAACCTATGTATATTAATTGAATATTTAAGGTCAATTAAGTGTGATGCTGTTTTTCCAAGTAAATATCAAGATGAGATGAGATGAGATGCAACTTTATTGATCCCTCTTTATTGATCATTCAACTAGATCTGTTACAAAAGAACAACTGATATTACCAACTTTTAAAAACTGTTACGGCCAGAGGTCTTTCTTC